TTTAAAAAGTTTGGACACATAATTGCAATGTGTTCTTTATATTTCTTTTGCTTTTGTTATATTTGATTAGGACGGTAAAATCATCAAAACATGGTGAAATGGACTTTCGGCGCACGAAACGTTGAAGGTAAGGGCACAAATGCCAAGAAATGAAAGGTATGGACGATTTCCACAATACATGTCAAAGGTATGGATGTTTTGTGCCAATTACCCATTATATTGATATAGAATAATTATCTTCGAATCACAAATGATGCATATAGCTTGCAATCCATCTAGATATCTACTTGTAGATGTTACCAAACATTCAAACAATGGTGGCATTTACGAGCTTCTTGGACAAAAAATTTAAATGAAAATTCTTTGTGTACATAATTTGGGTACATAATGATGTCCATAATGTGATGTGGACAAAATTCTGTTGTTGATGTGATAATGTGAAATTTGAATTAAATGTTGAATCCAGTGCCAGGTGTAATTATGGACACCATTATGTGTAACATTATGTNGTAATTATGGACACCATTATGTGTAACATTATGTACTTGTAGCACTTCACAAATTTCAAACCTTATTGGACACTACTTTTCTAAGACCGGCGTCTATGTTCTAAATAACTTCGAAGATTCAATGCATCTATGAATTGTTATCTAGGTGGTATAGGCATTGAAAGACTTCTGATCTACGATTGCGTGGCATTAACGTCTAATAAATGGACACCAAAGTCTAAAATTAGTTTCCAATGCATTCTATAAATTGCTGTCGACTTGTCTTTAATTTTCTTTAAAAAAAGAAAAGAATTATGTCTCTATTTGATAGAAAATATAATTTCGAAAGTAAAATAATTTTTTTTTATGTGACATAATTTTTTAAGCAATCCATATTTGCATTGAAGATAATTTTATATCGAGTAATGTTATTTATCTTCATGATGATAAATTATCGATAATGTGACAACTCATTGTTCGTCACATTTCTCTTACCTCGCCTCTCTCTCATTTAAATTGAACCGTCCAATTCCATTATTTCACGTAAACTGCTACATCACTCATGATTTATCATCATGATCGTAAATTGCATTATTATTCTTTAAATTCTAACTTGGATTGGAGATAAGAACACCATTATGCCTATAATATTTCTTTTATCTTTTAGAATATTCGATGATAGTCCTATAGATGTATATTGATCACGATGATGTACTCGAATGAATTTAATTCAAGAATTAGTGAATATTATATCCATATAATACAACAGTTACGTAGAAGCAAACCCCTATTACACTTAAAACTTAATGAAGAAAATCAATCGTAGCACTCTACTCTATAATGTAATCTGTGCGTAGGAAGTTTGTTCACATGGATTGGTAATTGGTATTGCGGTTGCTCTGCACATGGGGCATTCATTCTTCCGAAGCAACCAGATCTTTATGCAATCTACATGAGACTCCGCAATGAAGACTTGCAATTTTCTTATTTTCCTCGTATAAGCAATGGCACACAGCACAAATTTCAGGTTCTTCGTTGGCTGTTTCGTCTTTTGGATTGATGTGAATTTTTGTTTTCAAGTACCTAAGCACGAATCTGCTATCCATGCTATTATCAACAGCAGGAGTAGCACAGACAGGTGATGCAACCCTATGATTTACACGCGAATTGACCTGATTTTCTTGATGCTGAGACTGAGATTGGTGCGCAACCGGATGACGCCTAGGATGAGAAGCGTAAGGTGGAGGAATCGCATGAATATAGGGGGAGTGACGAACGCTAATAGAAGGGATAGCACGAAATCTTGAGGCTAATGGCACGGATAATCTACCATTCAGACGCGAGTTGGAGTACTGACCTGAAACTCGACAGCATGGACATGGTCCAGCATGTGGAACACACGTGATTTATGCGCGAATGGACAGGGACACAGAATCCTCGATTGACTCGGGAATTGAACTGGCCTTGTCCATGTTGATAGCAGCGCTAAACTAGACGAGCTACTTGACGAAACTGGCATTCTTGCTGCAGAAATCGAGTCAAAAGTCCCCTAGGTGAGAGGGCTGTCGATGAGCCATTCTAAACTTTCTTCAACAACCAAATAAAAAACACCTTTATTCTTTTTCAATTATATATTCTTCTAATAAAATAATTTTATCCGTAAATCCAAAAAAAATTCCTACTTTCACTCACATATTATCCAAAAAATCACTATTACATAATTTATTTTCCTAAAAAATGAGGCTTAAATTAGTCTTGTATCAGTATTATGATAACGTGTAATCAAGAATTGAATTTAGATTTTAAAATGGAATTATAGAATTAAAAGCTTCAAAAATTAAGTGTGCATTATCACCCTAGCTATAAGAGAATTATCCATGCATATTCGAATTACAAACCAAAATAACCATGCAGGAAATTTGACGTCAGATTTATGAACTCTTGTTTGAACCATCCGAGAGATTTCACTTATCTGCAGAAAGTCTAACTGGGCACACCAGCAAAACTGCATAAATCATCGATATGTACCATTCAAAAGTACGATAAAGCAAGTATTACAGCATGAGATAACATTAATGACACGACATGTCAAAGTCGGGGGCAAATATTCTTCCGATGGAAAACATTTTCTGTGAAACAAATGGAACCTTAAGTTCACATCCTACACAAAAATACAATGTCGTTTCAGTACAGATTAGGAGACTGGTTACCAACAAATCACCCTCCTTCAGGATAGTTTCACATGATAAACAGTAGTAACGAAAGCCATAGAAGCAAATTCTACATTCCATAGTCAACATCTTTCTTTATAATGCAGATTTACAAATTGAAAACGAAAAAAGATAAAGGAAAGACATCAGATGTAACTCAGGCCTCAAACCTCTATCTCGAAATAACTAAAATGCTAACTGGTTATAATCCATGTACCACGGCCAGAAGATCCATTGAGCATTCTGAAACAAATGACAACCCCAGTGCAAATGTTGAGAATCAAACTGTGCATCGGGAATTCTTAAACACCATCCACCAAAAGAAGATCTGCTTAGTGAAATGCTGGATGGAAAAATGTTTGGAGTTAGTATTTCGCAAAAGAATAGTATATTGATCAAAATCCATAACAGGATCCGCCACTAAGTCCATAAAAAATTATGTAAAAAAAAGTCAAGACACAAAGTAGAAATGAAATAACTAGAACCTTTCCACGGGACCAGATGTTTTGAGAACACAAGATTAATTTCATGTAGGCAGGGCAGCAGAACAATCTTCACAAACAATAGAATTGAAAATATAGAAATAGTACAAAATACTCAATAAAATTCACGTAGATTTCTTATCATAGTGGAAAAACAAATATAAGAACTTCCAAAAAGTTGATTCCCTCTAGACCATGAGATGATGAATTTACATTAATTGGCTTCTTTACGGACAGATGTTTCTCGCCATTTTTTGGTCCATGACTTGTATACTAGTTTCTAACTACTATTTGTAGAGTAGGTAAAAAATAAACTTAGGACATGCACCAAAAGTAACATAAAATTTAAGTTCTTGGATAAAGGAAATAGAAGCTAGTATAGAAATCTAGAAGTGAAGGGGGAACTGAAATGCGTTTTTACAAGGAAAGAGGCTGAAGGCAGTCACTGGACTTTCGCAGTAACTTTTCACCTCGACATAGCACATTCCAGTATCTACAACTTTGGAGTCCAATTTTACATTGGGCGGGGAAAGCAAAAGAGCCTTGGGTCTCTAGGAAGATGAGAAAATCAATTTAAAGGAATCCATATAAACAAATTGAGGAAAGAAAAAATGCCATTGGCAAAAACGTTTCAGGCATCACTAACAAAGGCTAGCATCAGAATGGCCTAACATCAAAAGAACATTATAAAAATTGAAGAGCAAATCAAAGAGGACAGCAAGAGACTTCTTGGAACATGAAAGATAGTAGACAAGAAAATATCATTAATGCTCTACAGGGCTGCCTCATCAGCAAGGATTGAAGATTTGAAGGTACACCATTTAGAATACTAATGGATTTATCGTCATAATTTTCTTTTCCCCTGAAAATCGCTGACACCAATTCAAAACCAAAGAATAGCACAATTGGGAACCAGATACATCACAATGCGAAGCATCTCCATAATGAATCTTATTATAAATCAGTAATTAAAAGGTAGCCAAGTAAATAATGTACTTTGACAACCATGACCTAATGGGGGAAGTACCACGACTTTCTGCTTTTTAATATGAAAGCAGAAGATCCACTGGAAGCCTGTAGTTGTCACAAACGACAATTTTCGTAGATCTTAACTTATAAGCCTTTATTTGCAAATCAAATTTCCAGTGTCATAGTATTATACATTATTTAAGCTTTCTCCAGATGGCAATCACAACAATATCTAACTTGTTTCAATAGGCTCTCCTCAAAATGGTCTGCTGGCTATTTTCAAAGGTGTAAGTTTGTCTTAATCAAGATATCTAATTAAAAAGTCCGATCAATTAAAAAACTACTAGGAATGTTTCTCCTAATTGGAGGAGTTGAATGAGAATGCATCGGGGAACTCAACAGTATGAATCCATGTACTATCAAACCCAATTATCCTACCGTAGCATATGACATTCTCAACCCAGTTCTATTCTAGGTCACCCTCAACATTATTTGACAGAACTACTTACACTCCTTCAATAATTTTAACAAAACCCAAACACACACCATGTCTAGAGCTTTGAATCTCCCAAACATGTTAGGCTTCTTTCTTAGAAGTTGCCTTTCTTGTTTTGAACTTTACTATAGAAATTTGCTAGTGTACGCATTAGCATCCTTACTTTTAAAAAAGCTAAATTTGCTCTAGGCCAAACGCGCTCCTTAGGGCATCTCCAACCCTAACACCAATTTAACGGTTTATCCCAAATTGGTGTCAACCCAACTTGTCATTATACCAAATTAGTGTAATTAACAGTGTTACACAAAATTGGCGCAACACTCTCTATTTGGTGTAATTTATAAAGTTTCTTGTTTCTCATTTGCCCTTCATTTTATACTACCAACAAATTTTAATTCCTATTATGTCCTTTATTAATTGATCATTCGTGGATGAATATCCTAATTCCAAAAATTAAATGACAAAACTAGTTGTATTTTATGTTTCTTTTGTTAAAGTTTTTTTTATTATGCCACTTTTTGAGCCACATTATTTTTTTCATTCTCGTTCTTCTACTCATTTTTAACCACACATTTTTCAATAAAATAATATTTTCTATCACAACAATAATTTTTCCTTTTTTTTCAACCATATATTCCCCATCACATCACTTCAAAAAAATACATTCTCTCATTTTAATATGCAACAAACACACACTATGTGTAATTTTTTTTATATTATGATGTTAAATGTAATATTTTTATAATTGTGGTATTAAGTGTAATGCTTTTTTAAAAAAAAAAATAGTAATAAATACAATAATTTAGTTAGTTAAATGTAATTGTTAATTTAGTAATTTTAGTATTAATATAATATGTAATTAAATAATTTTTGAAATAAATAATTGTTGAGAATTATAAAATATGAAAATAAAGGAAACACTTTTCATTAGGTGTAATAGGTTGGAGATCACTAAATAAAATGGCGTGAAAGTTGCACCACATAAGTGAAATGGGTTAGAGATGCTCTTAGATCAGCCCCTTTAGGTACTTGTTAGACTAATTCCAAAACCACCCTCAATATCACGATGTAAAACACATGAAGAATAATAAAACGACCCAAAATTACTGCCTTTTACTAAGCTGACTCTGAAGAATAGAATATGAAATGGTAAATTTCAAGAAAGTTATATATATCCTCAGAGAAATTGTTAATTTACAATATTTCCTTCAATAAACAATTCTCATATAACAACACTGCAATCCCAAAACCTATAGAACTATCCATTGAAAAGTCCATCAGTCGGCCATGAAAAAACAAAATAGTTCACCTAGGTCATAGCTGAAACACACTTCGTCAAAATAGTTCCCTTCCTATATACTTATCTCCTTATACTTTCAGCTATTGATCAAAATTTTACTTTTAAAAAACGAGCTTCCAGTATAAAAAAATCGCTAACAAGTAACATCTCAGTTAGAAGACACCCAGGGACTAATCTAGTGACTAGTGATACGTACAGACACTTGAGAATTCAAATTATTCATCATCAATTTATTATAAACTGTTAATACTAGGCATCTACAGCTTTGTACATAATCATGACTACACAGACAAAAACAGAACAAATGATCGGCTAAACCTCTTCAATTTGTCAAAGACCAAAAACCAGTGAGCATATGATTGACCCTTTACTTTCTTCTATAAACAATACCAGATACCAACCGAAAACAAATATAAAGAAGTAGATTAAATAACTTATCTATCTACAAATGACTGTGGGAACTCAGCAAGAAACCAAAGGCAAATAATTTGCGAAAGAAATGTGTGTTGCTTTTATTCGCTTGTACCACATTGATGTCCACAGGAAACGAGAATTCCTATCCTTTAACAGAGAATTTTTTGCTAGACTGCAGCCGATTTTTCAAACTTTTATTTAACAAGAAACAAGAGAAGGAGACAAACAAAGAAACAGTCACAGACATGCACCCATTTTTTGAATATTCGAGCTGCCAAATCAATGATGAAGATACAAATTTTTCAGTGAAGGAAAAAATCATTTAACATCAAATTTCTACAGTCCAATCTGAGATGCCACCACAAATTTCACGTGATAAGTTATATCAAAATAAATAACATATGACTAAATGAGCCAAAAAATTATACCATTCCCACTTGAACCGGGCCTGTTCAGATCTGCCGGTTCACCGCCTCTCCTCATCCGCTCATACCCACCTCCAGATTTCGGCCTCCCGTCTTCGACGAAACGGTTAGGAGAAGATCCGTAATGCCCCGGATCCTGAACCTGTCCCGGACGATGTCCACCCAAATCCTGTCTGCCCTTGAAACCCCCAGGCGGTACACCCTTGACAATCTCAAGCCCAGGCTTCTCCTGCTTGCCCACAAATCCCGGCCTGAGATGCGGAGGCACGAAACGGTTAGTCTTCACCGGAGACAGAAACGGAGATTCCGGAGATGGCAAAGGAGACGAAGAAATCGCCGGAGTTGACCCAGTTCGTCCCTGTGGACGAAGCGATATTAAATCCGGTTCAAGATCTGACCTTGCTCGATCCGGTGGCGTCAGAGAACAAATAACAGAACCCTTGTCCTCGTTTTCTTGCTGCTCGATTGATTGCCTCACCGGAATCGAAATGGGTTTCGGACTGGGCCGGCTCAAAACAAGCATGTGGCCATGGATTCGCGAGTTTGATATAATGGTTTTGCTCGGATTCGCAAAAGAAGCACCCGAAGAAGAGAACGATTTAGCTGAAGAATTGTTGCTGGTTCGACTATTGTTGTTATTATTCAGTTTTTTATCGTATATGTCATTGAAGTTGAGGGAGGTATATTTGTTGCTTCTTGCCATCCACCTGTTCCACCGCCACCAATTGCGCCGCCGAGAGCCACCGCTGCGAGGAGAGTTTTCTTTCTTTTTCTGGGAGGTTGTAGTTTTGTTGAGGCTTTTGAAATGTTTACTTTTACGCCATTATTCTGGGTTGAGGTGGGCGGGGGACATTGATTGTTGAAGTCCGATAATGACGTGGTTAACCTTCTTTCTTGTGAATATATGTAACTTTAATTAATAGAATTTTAAGATTATCACTTCTGTTTGTACAATAAATACACTTTTTATCGATAAATGTTAATTATATTGATCAAAAATCATATACAATTACACCGAGTATTCTTAGGGGAAACATCAATCAAATGACCGTACAACAACTTCGGGCATACCCGAACAAAGAAAAGAAAGAAAAAGATGTACAAACAATATGGACTAGTGACACATAACTAACGACTCCCAAAGAATCAAAACATTCTGATACAAAGAAAACATGACTTTGTATACGTGTGTTTTGATTCGTCAAACGACACTATCCACATGTGATGTAAGGTTTTCAAGGATCTTCCTATTACTTGCCGTCCAAATGTTGTAAACAGTGGTGGTAAGTGCAATCCGTGTGGCTTTGCTGTGCCAAGAAGTGCCCCGACTTTTCTTTTTAATCAATTTCAATGCGCTGGAGAGTGTGGACATTGATCGTCTAAGACCCACTCATGCACGGATAATTTCCCAAACTGACTGGCTAAATGAGCAATTGAAAAACAGGTGACTTGTAGCCTTTTCCATGCGTTCACAAAAGCTGCAATTGCGGTCAATCTGTAGAAATTGCAATCCGTCCTTAGTTAGCAATTTAGATTTGGCCGCTAACCACATGATAAAGGCATGCTTCGGTGTGACAAATGCATTCCAAACTGATTTGACCCAGATGACCTTAACTCCCCTCGGCCTGAAATAGTTATAAGCATGGAAGATGCTAAATCTGCCTTCAATTTCCCAAGGTGGACAGTTTATGAACAGTAGCTTGGGTGGTGTGCTCGGCCCTAGCGATGCCTTCTCTAATGTCCAACAGTTTTTTGAAGAGAGGAGAGTCATCTTTCCTCGGCGTATACGTCCAAATGCAACTCCCACGAAGGTATACTTGATTAACCCATTTGATCCACAAAGTATCCTTCTTAAAATGAATATTCCAAAGTGTTTTTGCAAGCAGCGCGGAATTTCAACTTTTAATATCCTTGAGCCCGAGACCACCCTCTTCCTTAGGTAGGCAAATATTGCTCCACGCAACCAATGGTTTGTGAGATCTCTAAAGAAAGTTCCGACAAAGAGTGATTACTCTAGAAGCAACCGAAGTCGGAATAGGAAAGATGGATAACCAAAAACATTCAACCCCTTGAAGCACGACTCTCACTAGTTCCGTTCTTCCCGCATAAGATAGAGAAGCCTTAGTCCAAACACCAATGTAAGCCGTGATTTTGTCGATAAGTATATCAAAAGAGCTGATCTCAAGTTTTTTTATGTATTTTGAAGCCGAATAGAGAGATTGAGATTTCAATGTTCTTTCCATCAAGAATTATTTCTCGATCAAGACATTTTTTGCAATTTTCGAGTGATTCAATCCTATACGCTCTTTCAATTTGAAGTGTTGTTAAGCTTATTTTATAGGTTATTTTGATAATATGTGTTTTTTAAAATTTTTTGTGAATTGAACGTTCTTTCATCGTTCTGTTGAAATCATAATTGAGTCTCATTTCCAAATTTAGACAACAAATTTGACTTGGTTGTGCCTCTTTGATACTATTAATTAAAATGCAATATACACAACAGATTAGAAGGTATAATGTTATCAAATCTGACATACTACCAATAGTGAACAGTATAAAAGCTTTTTACTGCTAGAAGAACATTACTTATGGTTCACTGCAATAGTCATACATTCCAAAAATCATACTTACGATTCTCTATGTCACATCAACAATATAAAGTTTTTATTCTGTCCACTAGAGACGGGAGATCAATTCTAATAATGTTACTCGTTTAATTTACGTGTTTGTGCTCGCCCATGTCTGAATATTAGACAAACCAATATGGCATAAAGCGACAATTGAATTAGAATGAAGTTGTAGAAAAATCTTTTCAATAGTTTAAAATAAACTCTGACCATAACAACTATTGTGGCCTTTACCAGACTTTTCAAAGTCATTTATCTTGGAGACGAAACTTGAGATAGAGTGATATGTACAGTTTTGATGTAGCAAACAAGCATCTAGCTTGCTACAGCAAAGCCTAAATTTCTTTGATTTATCAACGAGCTCTCTATTTTGTATCGGATGCTCTTATCGAATTGTGTTCACTGAGTTGAGTTTGGTGGTTCGATCTATTCGACACTACTAGTATCCTACATAAATAAAAGAGTTACTTTTTTTACTGTTCATAAGCCGAGCCAAAAGGCTTGATGGCTCAGCTAGGTTAACCCCCCATTTTTTTATACGTCCGATTCAATATTTTAAGTTACAAATATTCGTTTTAAACGATTGAAAATTTGTTGAAAATGTTGAAATGCGGCTATGTTATATGATCGATAAATTTTAAATAACAAAAATAATTTTACATTAATTGTGAAACGTAAAGTCGTGATTATTTATGTTTTTTTTCAATTCCAACCTCATTCTAATGTCATTTTTTCGAACTTTATTTTTCTACAATTGTTCGTTTAATTCGATATTTCACGATATGAATAGCCATTTGGATCAATTTAATTTTTTTAAAAAAATTTAAAATATGATAATAATAAATATATTGTCGATTAAATTTAAATATAAAAATTATTTTAAATTATTAAATGTAAAATCATAATAGTTAATTTTTCTTTTCTACTCCACTCTCAACCCGCATACTCACACCATTTTTTCTCAATTTCATTTTTCTTTAGTTTTTACGGTTAAAAAGGTAAATTTATGGCGTCAAAATAGATATTGAAGTTGAAGGAACTCAATGATTTTCAAAAGAATCCTCCTACATCATGCAGTGCTGGTAGACAAACATCTTCTATGAAGTGGATTATTTTG